TTGATGCACGTCTTTTTTTTTCGGATCAAGTTCGAAATGGCCGACTGGCGGCCATTTTGTTAAAGAATTCAGTTCTGGATCCGTATCCAAGACATGTCTGGATTGATCAAGTTCAAACTTCACACACACATGGTACATCATGTCACAAATAGATATGTGCATTTGTTTCATGATCTGCTTAACAATAGCGGAATGATGGCCATTTTAAGGCCGAAAATGCATCAAAATCACGTATTTTCACAATTCCAGAACCGGATCTCAGTCATGCATGGATGGATTTTGTTCAGATTTAGCACAATGTGTTGTACATATGCAGGTGCATTTCGGTCTTGATCTGCTTTGAATGTACATGTCACTCAAATATGAACGGAACGGGGACGTGTCATTGACAATGACTTGTTCTGCCTTATTTCTGACTTTAATTTCAATTTTGTTACAATTGCAGATCTTACAAATCAAGCTAACACTACACTAGGAGCAAGGCTTTCAGCTATCTCTCCTTTATCCAGGACTCCATCACCATGTTTGTCCCACTATTCCCATTCCCCATGCCAATCCTTTCATGAACCTTCATGCCATGTCCACTCATCAACAAAGCTAACTCCCTGTCCTGCACACGTACCACATTGCCATGATTGCGCAGAAGACTATGATGATGACTGGACAGATTCTGACTCTGATAGTGAAATAGACACTGACTCAGATTACAGTTGGGGTAAAGATGATGTGGATTTACCTGAGCAGCCAGTTGGTTGTCGTTCTAGATTTTCTACTTTTTTACGGAAGATTGTTGACAGTAAACATTTTATGAGAGGAATATTAGTTGCTATTTTAGTAAACACACTTAGCATGGGAATAGAGTATCATAATCAGGTAAGATATACCTTACATTTCTCTGCATGTCACTTGGTTTTGTAGATTGGATGCAAATCAGCTGTTTGGTGAGTGGTATTTCTGACATTGCATTGCATCAAACCACATTCATTGACATGTCAGACTATTTTCATGCTTTTATTTCAAGTTCTGATTAAAAATGGCTGACTTGTATCTGTTGTAGTGGATAAAGTCTTTGTCAGAAATGTTGATGGAAATGTTCTACTTACATATACAGATTTGCCAGAGCCTTTATTCTTGCCAGAGCCTTTATTCTTGCCAGAGCCTTTATTCTGCCAGAGCCTTTATTCTGCCACATATTTTGTATGATTGCATTCTTCTTTTGCAATTGTGATGAATTTGAATTTGGACAGGGACATGCTTTGTATCTGTTTACATATTTAAAGAGACTGTCATAAAATAAAAAAAATGTGTTCCGCTGTATGTAATTTTTCTTCAAAGATTTTTAAGCAATAAGATTGATATTTTATTTATTGAGACATTCCATACATACAGTAATAGATGCATTTACTCACTTTATTTTCACAGCCAATAGAATTAACTCTGGTATTGGAAATCAGCAACTTGGTATTTACAAGTTTATTTGCATTGGAAATGGTTCTTAAAATTCTGGCTTATGGGCCAGTGATGTACATACGAAATGGATTTAATGTGTTTGATGGGATTATTGTTGTACTTAGGTGAGTGCTATTTGTCTTGGTTTTGTAGAAATTAAACAGTAATATACATGTATACGAGTAGTCACATTTAACACAACTAACACAGTGCCAGTCTCTGGGAAATATTATGTATTTTTGAGGAAAGAAATGCGAAACAATACACACATTTTATTACAATATGGTTTACATACCGTCTGAATTTACGGTACAAAAATAGGTACCTGGGGTCTGTTGGAAAACAGTCAAAGACAAGATCTTTATCATTATCTTGTTGTGAAATGTTTTTGATCGTACGCAAACTCAAAGCTATTTACAAAGCTATTTCCGCCATGCTGTTGTTCATCATAATTTTACCTGAACAGCTTCCTTTGTCCTTACTGGTCATGTCTTTCGTTAACCAATCAAAATGTTGTGTCGTACAGACAAAGTTTTCCGATTATTGATGAAGTAATTATTTTTAACGCAATGCGGAAGTGAATTACCGCAATGTTAAAATGCGATCTGATTTTGACAAAAAACAGTGATTTTTTTTCCTAAAACCTGTTGATTCGCAATTTTCGAAAGGTAAACTGAGGGTGGGAGAAGTCTGTCAACAATTTAAGTCATGTTGAAGTTTATTTTGCTTGTTCACACCCTATTCACAATGTACTCGATTTGGAAAAGTAAAACGATGTTCAATGATTAGGTTTCTTGACTTTACGATCGCTGTTTTGCCGATTGGAAAACTAGTACTACTCAAACGAAATATGGATTATTTCATTATTGCAACATTAGGGTTCATCCCAGTAAATAACAGAATAGAAAATGTGCGAACTATGTACCGTATGTTCGCCCGTCATGCACTGTAAAAGTGGAACCAAACTACTGTACTGATCATGATTTTTATGCAATGAAATAAACTGATTACATGCATATTTTAATAAATGTTGTTGACACCCGGTAAAAACACCCTGGGCCTATACTCGGGGTGCCCTCAACTCGTTAAATGTCTAAAAACAGAGGGGTGGGCTTATACTCGGGGAAGTACGGTATAATGCATACGTCTGTCCCACTGAACAAGAGATTCTACTTGGGTCAAAAAAATGTGACAATAACTACATTTTCTATGAATAAAAAAGAAGACTTGATCCATATTTTCATTAAATGTCTCCAAAAGCAGTCCCCTCTTTTCTATTGGGATGAATACATGTATTCTCCTTCTTTTATAACCTTCGGACTTAGGCAGTTGTCATAGTAACTCAAGTCTTGTTAATAAACAAACGAACAAAAATAGAATTGTTTTATTCTCACCTATTCCTATAAAATACACAATGCACTTTGATAACAAATGTTTTAGTGACCCCAAAATTTACAATTATACGAATTTGTGATTATAACAAATGTTCTTACTCACTGATCAGGTCTAGCATGCAATCTGTCGCAGTGACAACACATCATGTAAGTTGTTTTATTACAGGGATACATACATGTATATTTATAACAACATTAGGCAACAATTTTTGACTCCCATGTGCGAAGCACAAAATGGGAGTCTTTGCAGTTAGTGTGTCTGTATGTGTGTGTGTATGTGTGTATGTGTGTATGTGTGTATGTGTGTATGTGTGTGTGTGTGTATGTGTGTCCGACTGTTCCACTGCTATCTCAAGAACCATACATCGGTTTTTGATGAAACTTGGTGCATAGATGCTCTGGGCCAATGCGCAGATTTGATTAGGTTTTGGTAAAAATCCATGCTCGTTAATTACCTAATTTGCATGATAATTAGCTAATTTTTAGCTGTTCTATGACTGTTCCACTGATATCTAAAGAACCACTCATTGGATTTTGATGAAACTTGGTACATAGATGCTCTGAACATATGCGCAGATTTGATTAATTTTTGGTAAAAATCCGTGCATATTAATTACCTAATTTGCATGATAATTAGCTATTTTTTAGTGGTTCCATGACTGTTCCACTGATATCTAAACAACCACTCATTGGATTTTGATGAAACTTGGTACATAGATGCTCTGAAC